ATCTCATCATACTGTTCATCCGAGAGCCTCTGGAGGAATGCCGCGACGCCTCGTCCGTTCAACCTCCGACGGCCCCGCTTGCCTCTACATCTTCCTTTGAAGCTCCTCCGTATCCTCCTCCTAACACGTCGCACTGGTTTTCGCGTGAACCTCCTCCACCTCCGTTTCGCCTGTTGTAATAACCAAAATAGGTGTTCAGCACGCTGATTGTCAGTTTCCATATTCAAAATATCTGACCAGTCTAAAGCTTCAACACCGTCGGCTGACGCAGTATCAGTGTCGGTGCCGGAGTCGAAATCATCGTCTCCCAAGTAGGTGGACACGCCGTCGGTAAGGGGGTTTGATTCACCCCACAGAGAACGGTGTGGTTGAGGTTCTCTGGAAGGAGGGCTGGTTGCCCAACTTGGTTGTGGTCGATCCCCTGCTAATGAAGCAGTAGATTCTCCAGGATCGTCGGCCCATATGCTTGAGGGCCCGTTTCAAGGCTGGGCTTCAGTGGTTAAGGTAATGTAGAAATTTCCACCACCAGATCCCCTTCCCTTCGAAACACAGATCCTATATTACCAGGAGACCGTTCTGATAGGTGGCCTATCGAACGCATCCTCTCCGGCAACTCATCATACTGTTGTTGAGTTCGGGGCATTTGATGATTGAGTGGCTGTAAGAGTTGCATGGCTCGCTGGTTGCCGACGCCTAAAGCGCGGAACAGGATCGTGGTTAGTAACTGGAAGTTGGGAAGGTCGAATCCCACCGACTGTGCCTCAAGTCGGGCCATTTCGAATCGGGTTAGAGTGACATCGATTCGTTTTCCGTGAGGCACATGGAAGTCGATGAGCTGTGTGCCGGAAGTGAGCTGGCGCTCATCTTCCAGGCGCCCGAACTTCATGCTCAGGAGGAACATGATGTAGGTCAGGGGGTCTGTGTGGACCCCATCGATGTCAGCACCATAGTTTATAATGTCAGGTGGTACCCTCATGGCGAGTGTCCTCGCTAGGCCACCTAGGCCGCGTTGTATGGCGGCCGCTTGGGCCTGTGGCGTCATACGTCCGCTAGTGACGTTGAGCCATGCGTTGACCTCATAAACGTACTCGCGAAAAGGTACGTTGCCTTGAGGGTCCCAGTATGGGCCATGTGTTTGCCCATCGGTGCTGTTTTCTCCGCGGCGCATGTGTCCGATTGCTGCCCCCAGCGCGAACCATATGATAGCGAATATAACCAGCCCAAGGCTGTGTAGATAGGGGTGGTTATTAGGCGCGTTGCCGCGCTGGGGTAGCGCCTTGTTGAGTCTCCGAGGCGCTCTATCTGGCGGATCTCTCCGCCCATGCTTCAAGTATTGCGCTTTTGGCTCGTTGCCGAGCGGTTGGTAGTAGCGCAGTGATGAAGCGTATATGGTACCAACGTTGTTGTCTAGACGTCGTACCTCTCGTGTTGCTTCTTGCTCTTGGACAGATCCTCGTAAACGTACTGGGAGTGGTAGCGAAGGGTGGTAGGTGGTCACGAGGATCGTGCCGAAGAGTATGAGGATGAGAAGAGCAAGAGCTGACCACACGAGAGTGCGGCCAGCTCCGCTACCAAGTCGAAAGTGAGCCTGGTAACTCAAATAGCATCCGATTCCATGGGAAGCGGATGGCAAATAGCGTCCGGTATCGTACTGAGGTGGTTCAGTAAGAGGAATGGACGGATAGGATAGGATAAGATCGATGTAATGATCTTTCCAGCACATAGCGAACACAAGCAATGTCCGGGCAAATCGGGCGCGCGTGCCTTGGGCCAAAGGCAACGGCGCGCGAGCTATACTCCCGATACTATAACATCTCCTCCTCCTCCTCCTCCTCGTGCTCCTCCTCGTGCTCCTCCTCGTCCTCCTTCTCCTCCCCCTCCTCCTCCCCCCTCCTCCTCCTCCCCCTCCTCCTCCTCCTCCTCCTCCTCCTCCTCCTCCTCGTGCTCCTCCTCGTCCTCCTCCTCCTCCCCCTCCTCCTCCTCACGTGGGGTGCAGCACAGCTCTGTCGTCCTGGACTGGGCCGCGAGCGGCGCGGCTGGAAAGCCTCTGGGCGGACAGGAGCCGTGGGCACTCCCTCCGCTCTGAAGGGGCCCAGGGATGCACGAGTACACCGGGAACGACCTTAACGTCGGCGGCAACTCATGAGAGCCTCCCGTACAGTCGGGGCCTTGACCTAAGGAACCCTAAATAAGGAACGAGGCCCCTTTTTTCCACAAGTTAAACTTCGATTTCCGATCGAAAACCTGAGGAACACCTGAGGCAAGCTGTGAAACACTTAAGGCACGCGGAGCCCCTCCCCAACGAAAAGGGTTCCTTCTTCAGGGCCCCTCCCGTACCATCTTGTCGGCGTTTGCGTGTCGACGCTAATCGGCGCCAGTCGTCGCTGATCGACGCGGGATCGACGCACACCGACGCTAAATCAGCGTCAGCTCATCGACTCCCAGACCCGAATCGGCGTTAATCGAAGCTAATCGACGCTGAAGACGGAACTCAGAGGGTATACCAGGCTCCCATGATTTGCTACCGAACTGAAAGGGGCCCAAGGACCCACGAATAAAAAAGGATCGACCTGAACCGTGTTGTTTGTTGTCGTTCTGTTTTCGTTTTCGCAAATTGTTGTCTCCAGTTCGCCTCTGCTGCAAAACGATATCGAAACGAAGACGGCTCACGTAATCGCCAAAACACCGTTCAGGCCGACCCCTGCGAATAAACTGACGCAAAACCCTGGATTCCCCACATCTTCCATATGTTCCAGAATTTCGTCTCCCCCCCCACATCCCATATGTTCCAATCCTTCCCAGGGAATCGACAGTTCTTTTTGTCTGCGATTCTTAGTTTGTTCCCTCCTGACTGCTCTCCTCCACCTCGACTTCCTGAGGGGCAGCGATAAGGGAGGATAGGCAAAGGGGGGGGGGGGGGGGGGGAAACATCGACCTGGAATCGCATACACATCGCCAACAGATCGGCGATAGGACCGACCCCGACAGTGATTCCGCACCTTCCTGGGCAGGCTGGGGCTATCGGGCCCCCCTCGGCAACACATGGGCGATTGGGGGTCGATGCATCTCCCCCTATGCACATCCCTCCTATCTCGGGGGCGCGCAAGCACGGATTAGCGATCCATGGACTTGGAGCGCGGTCGCCAAACCCATGCATCGGGGGAGGTGTCCTCCCCAAAAAGCGGCCGGTGCCGCCTCGCTCGGCGGCGGAAATCCGCGATTTCCAGTGAAAACGGAACCCGACGCTAATCCACGCCCCCAGATCCATGTTTGCCATCGCCTGAAATATCCAGATCGTCCAATGAGCATCGTGTCACCGATCCCTATCCTAACTGGCGTTGCCTGGGCTCCACTGACCGATCTGCCCAATGCCCAATGGATTCATGTTTGCGATCGCCTGACTATCGTTGCCACCTTGACTGCCTCCCCCTTCCGCGGCTGACTACCTACCAGACCACCCGAAACCCAAGCCGAAGACACCCGAACTTCGGGTTGGGGAGGGTACGGGTTCCATGTTGTTTTTCAACGTTCCCCGACCCCCCCTCCTGGAAATGGAGGGCAAATTTGAAGGGGACCTGGGACACACAAATAAATACACACAAATAAAAATATTCCCCATATTTTCCCATATGTTCTGGGTTCTTGTCTCCCCCCAACTTCCCATAGTCTCCCACACTTTCTGGGGAATCGACTACTCTTTGTGTGTGTGCTTTCTTCCCTCCTGAAAATTGCGGGTCTCGGATTGGGCTGCGGGGGCTTGGTGCGTGGCGACTCGAGCGGCTGCAGCGCCGGGGGACGCCGGCGCCCCCCCGCGGAACGCAGGCACGCCAGAGGAGCCTGCAGGGACGTACCACGCACGGGCGGAGGGGGCTCTCGCGCCCAGCCGGGTGCCTCTCCGCCAACCCTCCCCCCGTCGCTCGGGTCGGGCGAAAGGGGGGGATAGCAACGGGAGGTTTGAGAATCAGCTCACGTAGCTGATTTTCCCGGCGCCTCCCAGCGCCGGGACGCGCCTGTGCATCGAGTGATGGGCCCCTAGCTCGGTGGGGCCGAAACCAGCTGCATGCAGCAAATTTCGTAACCCCCCCTTTCCCAAAAAAACCCTTTCGTCCGGCCAGGGTTAGCAGGAAACCAAAAACTGCAATGCAGGAAAAGAAGCTGCAATGCAGGAAAAGAAAAACTGCAACGCAGGTCTTCTGCACTGATCCCTGCCTCGAGGCTCCCGATGGAGTCGGCCGAGGGGTCGGCTTTTGCTCTCCCCCTCCGGCGGGGCCTCGCGGAGCGGCGCCCGGCTCCGCAGAGACAGCGGCGCTGGCAGCCTCCGCCCCCCCGCGGCGGTCGCTGGCCAAGGGCTCCCAACTTTGAAGGGGCCCTGGGACGCACAAATAAATACACAAATAAAAAGATTCCCAATATTTTCACATATTTTCTGGGTTTTTGTCTTCCCGCCCAATTCCCATATTTTCCTATATTTTCTTAGGAATCAACGATGAATTGTGTCTGTGTGTTTTTCCCCCTCCTGAATCTTCGCGCTTCGCGCGGCGCGGAGCGCGAAGGGTGCGAACAACGTCGCGCTCTCGCGCCGCCTCTGGGGTCGGGCGAAAGCGGGGGATAGCAACGGGGGGTATTGAGAATCAGCTCACGCAGCTGATTTCCCCGGCGCCTCCCGGCGCCAGAGGCGACGATGTATCGAGGAGTGGGCCCCTCGGTGGGGCCGAAACCAGCTGCATGCAGCAGATTTCGTAACCCCCCCTTTCCCCAACCCCCCCCCCTTTCGTCCGGCCCGAGCCTCCCATGGGAGCAGGGGAGGACGAGGAGGGACAGCGGAGCCGCAGCGCGAGGCGCGAAGAACTTCGCGCCCTCGAGGGCGCCCTTGGACAGCGGCGCCGGCAGCGTCGGCCCCCCCGCGGCTGCCGCTGGCGCCTCTCCCCCGCCGCTCCCTCCCGCGGGCCTCCCCGGCGGCCCCTGCCCACCGGGAGGCCCCCCGGGCCGGGGCGGGCCGCCTCGGAGCAGAGGCAGAGGGCCGAGGGGAAGAGCGCCGAGACGCAGCTCTCGTCGGCGGCGAGCGCGGGGGGGGGGGAAGGCCGAGGAGGAGCGGTCCACGGACCAGGGACTCCCGGCTTCGCGCGTCGCGCGGCGCGACGCGCGAGGGGTGCGAACAACGTCGCGCTCTCGCGCCGCCTCCCAGGGGAGAAGGGGAGGACGAGGAGGGATATCGGAGCCGAAGCGCGAAGCGCGAATAACTTCGCGCCATCGATGGCACCCTTGCCGACTGCGCCCGCTGCTGTCGAGGGCGGCCTCCGCACCTCTCTGGAAAGCCCATTGGTTAGGCGTGCTAGGGGACCTGCAGGTCACTTGCCTCACGAATGAACTTGCGTCGTAGGATGCGATCTTCTTACCAGGGGAACCGAGCACGGTACACACACAGCTCAGGCCGCCCAAACTGGCCAAAGAATGTCCACGGAGCAAAAGCGGCACAAACATAAACTTCCCACGCTCCTCTCGGAGTTCTGGGATCTGCCCCAGGCCCCCTGGCGGCGCGTCTGGCGCCGCCCCCCGCGGGTACGATTCCCGACCGCAGTTCCTCGAAGCCGAAAAGCACGGCATGGACGTAAACTTGTGGAACTCCGCGCGGATTTCGTGGATCTGCCCTGGGCCCCCCTGGCGGCGCGTCCGGCGTCGCCCCCCGGCACGCTCCGCGCGCCGAGGGGGGCCCAGCTCAGATCCAAGAAATCCGCGCGGACCGTCACACATTGATGTTTTTTGCCGCGTGTTGCTTCTTCAGGAAAGGCCTTCTCAGAAGGCGGCGGGACTTCTCGGAAGCCCTCGCGCAATCTGAAAAGTTGTTCTATCTCCGGGAAAGGCTCAGAAGACTTTGCAGAAGCCCGGGGGACTTCCGAGCCTTCTGAGAAGGCCCGCCCCTTCTCACTTCCCCCCCTCGCTCGTCGCCGATCTTGATAAGGCGCATGTCGAAGGAGCAGCCCTTGAAGCCATGCACCAGGATGAACACGTGGATCCTGCGAGGGGGGAGGAAGAACAACCACCCCCAAAAGAATCACCCCGAAACGCGAAGCCGTGTAGTAAACGCACCCACAGAAGGGAATCGAACAGGGCATGGCCGTCTAGTAAACGCCCAGGGCCGTACAGTGAACGCCAATCATCGGGTCACGGTGTCTTCCCCCCTTGAGAAGAGGCACCAATCTGGACGGATGTGCCCGCCGACTCTGTCGAGCCTCAGCCCGTGCGGCTTTGCCGCGTAAGCCAGGCCAAGTCGCGTCGGCCTGAAGGCTTCACCTCGAGCAGATTGGGGCCCCTGTCGGCGGAAGAGAATCCCCTCCTGCACGGACCTCTGATATATGGCCGGGTGATGTACACTGCCCACCTCAAGGAGGCGCACAATCTCCATTCGAGCTGCTTGCGTACAATGCTCCACGGCGCACCGTTATGGGATGACGCAGGAGTTGAATGATTAACCCAGAGCCAACCTGGGCTGGATGTCATCGAATGCGTGGCCGTTGGTGGATGATCTGGATTTCCGATCTGCGAGGAAATGCAGTAGGAGCTCAGCCACAAGAAACCTTCCACAAGATACCCAATTCTGAGACCACGGCCCGTCCATTGACTTTTGGTGTGGGAACGTCACGCCGTCCATAGCAGAACCATCGAAACACAATAAACACAGGTCACCCGTGTGAGCGTGTTTTTATTCGGCGTTTCGACATTGAGCGAAGAGAGGGGGGAGGGGAAGGGGTGGTCTGGCTCCGGACCTCTGCTTAGCGCGTCTGTTTGCGACAGTGCGCCCCAATGGGGAGGGAGACCCACCTGCCCGAAACAGGCGCCCAAAACAGCCAAGATCTACTCCATGAGGGAGGGCAAGGGGGTGGGGGTGGGCGAGGGCCCGCGCCGATCGACGAAACAAGGAATGAAAAAACGATCGCCTCTGGGGACACCAAAAGGTACCGATACCGCTACTCCCCGGACCTCTCCTGGGGTGCGTTCAGACTAGGATTTCCAGGCGAATCCAGCGGTGGCGACGACGGAGGCCCAGGAGGCCCAAAAAGGGGAAAACGAGGGGAGGGTAGAGGTATGGGTACCTTTTCCTCCTCACGTGCCTCACCCTGGAGGCAAACCGGGTGTTTTTTTCGCGTGGGTTTCCACTGCAGTGTGGCTCGTCGATAGCGGTCCGCCCTTGCGGAGGGCCCATCTGCCCAGCCGCGAACGGTTCCACATTTAGTGTTAGGTCGGGCGTGTCCCCCTAGATGCAGATTTGAAGGAAAATTTAAAGATAGTCCAGAAATAATCCAAAAATGATCAAACATTCAAGAAGCATAATCCCCTGACTGTGTTTGGACATTCTTTGGAGGGGAAATAAAACATAGCCAACAAATGCTACAACAAAACACGCAAACATGATGGAACCATTGTCCCCTGACTATGTTTTGACTACTTGCTGTACGTTCCCCCCGTAGGAGGACATGCGCGACATAAAACATAGCGTCGGCCTGCGACCTCCAACCCCCTGTCAGTCAAACTCCATGGGGTCGTAGCCGCCTTGAGCAGCGGGCCGGCCCTGGTGCCCCTGACTCGACGCGGCGTGGGCAGGCATTCTCGACGACTCTAGGGAACCGAACTCTATACACCGACCCCTTTTTCTGGCCTCACACTGAATCTCGCACAGGAAAGCGGATCCTGGTGTATATGGGATCCTGGTGTATACATTCTTCGTTGTTTCCCTGGGGACACGGGGAGACAAGTATACACCACACCACCCCGACGTCGTCCCCGACCCTCACAAAAGTTCTGGGATTGAGAAGCCGCCCGCCACTGGCGATGAATAGGCGCCAGTTTCCGACACTCCTCCCTCCCCGAGTCGTACACCAGGCGGTGCGTGGACAGACAGAGCGCGGAACATACAGTAGACAGAGCACTCGGAGAATCACAACGAGAGAATGTGATGACGCCGCGTGCGCTTCGCGCCCGAAGAATTTTTTAGAACTCCGAGGCGTGGCTGCGCTGCCAAGACACCTGCCAAAGCGACGGGCAACTCGAATGCTGAAACTATGAATCGTAATGCGCCATGCCACATATTGCGCTGCGATGTGCCTTGCTAACAGTAGACGCGTCAATGCGCGATAAAAGGCGTTGTGCTCTAGAGCGTTGTGGATCCAGTCTCCCTGAGCATCCGAATCCTGACCGAACTGATCTGGACCTTGAGCTCCAGCTGCCTGAGCGCATAATTGGCCCAGAGCTGGTTGCTATCGAAAGGTGTTGGGCGATCCTTCAGTGATAACCAGAATACCCCGAACCCTTTGAGAGGGGACCTTTAGAAGGACCAAATGCATTAGGGATAGAGTGCTGCTGATGCATCAGACCAAACCGCCCAGATGTGTGATCCCTACTGCGAAGACGGGGACCTAAGTGAGGCCTCGCCTTCGTCATGTTGTTAGTGTTAGGTGTTCCTTAGTTCTCGATGACAATCAGCTCGAGATCAAAATCCGACTCAGTTCCGAAGCGAGACGAGACGAGACATCCTCAGCAAATCCTGATGTTAGACATCTGCCTGGGCAACCTGGAGGCGGGAAACCAAGCGTCTCGCTCGAGGCATCCTCAAGTACTGGGCACCTGAAAAAAAAGCATTTCACCAGAGAGATCCTTTGAATTCTGGTCCCAGGAGAGGAACGAACTATAGCGCAAAACAAACGTTTCGCTTGAGACATCCTCAACAGATAATGCAAAGCAAGCGTTTCGCTCGAACCCTTCGCAACAAACGAAAATGCGTACTTTACCGCGTGCTTTATCCATCAGAATGTCAAAACCAGCGCTTCGCTTGGTACATCATCGAACAATAGATCGCTGGCCCACCTCGACCTCGATATCTGCCGCAGATTCAATTCGCCGGCCAACCTCGAGTCGAGGCCGGGGAACAGCTAAAAGAGATTACAGGGCAATGTTTAATACATGGGATTTTTGTTTGACATTGGAATTTGAATACATGATCAATATATGAATAGATTGATGCATTAACTCATCGTTGCTTTTAGTACCCGCACGCGGAGCATGTAATAAAAACGGCACTGTACTGGGCCGCAGTCCTTTCCGGGAAAAAGGGAGGAACAATTAGTCAAGGGCCGCGGTATGGATCCTCTGACGCCTGGTCCGTGGTGAGAGGCATGGACGGGCAGGGAAAGAAGGGGGGAAGGGGCGGGCGGGAGGGAGGGAGGGGAGGGGCAAAAGGGGGGGAGGGAGGACGGGCCGGACAAGAGGGAGGAGGCATGGAGGGAAGGACAGAAAGCAGGGAGGGAAGGGAGGACAGAGAGGAGGGAGGGATGAGAGAGGGCGCGGAGGGGAGGAGGAGGGGACAGAAAGGAAAGGGAGGGGGGAACAAGGGGGGGGGGGGGGGGGGGGAAAGGCGAGGGAGGGAGGAAGAGGGACACGAGGGAGGGAGAGGAGGGAGGGGAGGGACAGGGGAGGGGCAGGGGGGGGTGCGCTCAGGGGGGGCGGCGGCGGCGCCGCGTCCCCGCGTACGCGGGCCGCCGCCTGCGCGGCGTCCTCTGGGCGGGGGGCTCGCCCGGCTGCGCCACCGCCCAGCCGCCGCCGTTCCCCCCCCCCGTCCTCGCAGATCGTGTCCGCCGAGCCGTGCGCGACCCGCCGGCCCCGCGAGCCGAGGCCGTGCTCGAATAGGGGATCGACTGCAGAATTTTGAGCAGGGGCCGACCGTCCCGGCGTTCCTATAGTCATACCACGAACTCTTCTTAGAACACAAACATGTTCTAAGAACAGAAGCAATGTTATTAGAATGTAAACCCGATGTGCTAAAACGAGACAGTCCCAGCCAGGAATGTTCCAAGAACATTTCGTGGGAACCACAAGAGGTTCTTAGAACCTTGTTTGGTGGGGCTATAGGCAAGCCGCGACGCTTCGCCACTGCTTGAGAATTGGTTTGCCCCAGGATTGATTGCTCTGGTCGGACCCACAGGCACGTCGCAAAACACTTTCGCAGCTCTACGACTGGCTGACGTATTCGTATTAAAGCGTCGACGTGGGAATCAAATCTGGGGTGTATCAGTTCTGCAGTCGATCCCCCAGTCGGCGTGTGGGCCCAGGGGAACCAGCCGGGGGGAAGACCAACCAGGACGAAGCCAGGAGGAGACATCGGGCGAAGGCAAATCGAGAATCTCCAAGAGCCCGCGATCAGAGAGGATGTCTCGGGCGAAGCGGCCTTCTCGGAGCGTCCCCGGCAGCTCCGGGACGGGTTCTCCTCGTCCGAACCCCATCCGAGCAGCTCGTGCAGGAAACTCACCAGCAAGAAAGCGAGCGACACAGGCAGGGTTTCAGCAGGTATGCGCGCGCGCTGCAACATCGCCCTGGGTACAGAGATGGCTACTCGTGGTTCTCTTGTTTGTATTGCTCACAAGTAAGGGCACGGGTTCAAGTGGAGGGGCAGCCAGGGCGAAGGACAGCAATTCCGACAAAGTGCATGCCGACACCTGCAGTCCTTTTGAAACTCAGCCTGGGTAGCACTTCTGCCAACTATCACGCACTCCCGTGCGGGTGCAGTGACGTCCATTGCTGGTGACGGCTGTTGGGCAGGCCTCCTGAATCGTGGAGTCTATGTACCAGATGAAGAAAACTATTTGCAAACACGCGTCGTCGCAGGAGCTCTTCATTTTTTTTGCGTTGAGCAAGAGTGGCGCACGAGGAACGTCTCGTTCTGGAATGTGGCTATGCAACAAGTATGTCCGATTTGGCGAAGCTGTTCAGCAGAAAGCCTGGAGGGAACCGCCTCCTCCTCCGTCTCCACCATCTCGAAATCTTTCCCCTAGCACCCCCCCCCCCCGGAGATCCGAGCGTTCTTTCGAATACAGCTCGGGCCCGACCACAAGAAACCTTCCCCAAGAAACCACACCCTGAGACCTCAGGACGTCCACGGACGTTTGGTGTGGGAGCGACACGCTTTCCATTGCAAAAGCCACGCTTTCCATTGCAAAACCATCGAGACCCAAGAAACCCAGTGCACCCTGGCGGCAAGCAGGGCATGGGCCTCTACTGTGCATCACCGACACATCGGCGACAGGCCCCGGATAGCGAAACCGCACGTCCCTGGGCGGGGTGGGCTGTCATACACCCTGCGAAATGCTTAAGAAATCATGGGTTAAGAAATTCATAATCTCAGAAATGGAATAAAACCCAGAACTTCGATCAAAATGTTGGAATTTACATTGAAAAGTTAAGAATAATCGAGACTCTGGACGAAAACGTAGGTTTTCTTAAGCATCGCCTAGGGTGTACCCCTGTCTGCGATGAATCGTTGATTGTGGGCCAATGCTTCTCCCCCTGAGCCTGGATCATCCCAACGTTGCCCCCGAAATGGGGGGGAAGGGTCTCCACTCCACGCCCGGCGCGCGCCGGACGCGCCGCTGGCCCTGCGTGCCCAGGTCCTCTCGAGACCACGCCTCCTCCCGCTGCATCCCGCAATTAGGGGGGGAAACAAACCTACACCTTGCGAAATGCTTAAGAAATCATGGGTTAAGAAATTCATAGTCTCAGAACTTGAATAAAAAACCAACATTTCCATTCAAATCTTAGGATTTACATTGAAACATTAAGAATAATCGAGACCCTGGCCGAAAATGCAAGTTTTCTTAAGCATCGCCTAAGGTGTACCTCGCTTTTGACCACCCTCGCTTCCAAGAGATACCAAGCGATGCCAAACTACGGCCTGTACTGGTCAGGCCGCTTGACGAGGAGGCGCGTGGTATGACTTGGCTTTTCCTGGAAGCGAAAGCTGGGGAGGTAATTCACGCTCTGAGCCATGAGCTTCCGCTCTCGCCGCAGCAGGCCAGGGGCGGCTGGACTGTCGCAGCGCTCTGCCGTGAAGGGCGCACACCGCCCCCAGCAGCCGTCTGCTGCCAGTGGGCAGGCCGCCACTCTTGCGGCAACGCAAAGAGAAGCCCACGAGCATCTCCTCCTCCTCCTCCTCCTCTTCATCCTTCTCGCCCGCTCCCCCCCTCACCTCACCTTTGAGCTCATCCTTCCCGTGCTCCTCCTCCTCCTCCTCTTCCTCCGCCCCCTCCTCGCCGTCTAGCGCCTTCTCGTTGTCTCCTCCTCCCCCTCCTTCTCCTCCTCCCCCTCCTCCTCTTCCTCCTTCTCCTCCTCCTCCTCCTCCTCCTCCTTCCCATGCTCCCCCTCCTCCTCCTCCTCCTCCTCCTCCTCCTCCTCCTCCTCTTCGCGTTCTAGCTTTCTCGCTTCCTCGTCCTCCTCTTCCTCCTCCTCCTCTTTCGGCGTCCTTCGGCGTTCGGAGAGGGTCACCACTCCTCCTCCTCCTCCTTCTCCTTCTCCTCCTCCGCCTCCTCCTCCTCCTCCTCATCCTCCTCCTCCTCCTTCCTCCATCTTCTACTCACCCTTTCCACCGCTCGGACGTCCATTCCCTGTGCACTGTCCGGTGTCGTGCGTGCTTCTTTTGTTTCGCAGGACGGTCCAGAATGCACGCCAGTGACCCCCGCTGAGAAAAAAATGCACACGTCCGAGCGATGCCGCGTCCCTCCTCCGGCCCCCGAGTCCCTCCCGTCCCGCTCCCCGCCGCTGTGTCCCGGAGCTCGAGGCCGACGGCGAGCACGGGCATTCGGCCACGTCCGAGCGCGCGGACAGCGACGTCGCCTCGTGCGTCCCTCCGTCGCGCCTCGGGTGGGTCTTGGGGGGGGGCCGGGGGGAGGGGGCCGGTGAGGGGGGGAGGGGCCTGGAAGTGGAGGGCGCCAGGGCCGCAGGGGGGGGGGGGAGAGGAAGAGAGAGAGAACGGGCCAGAGGGGATGGGGCAAGAGGAAGAGGACGCGGAAGAGGAACGGGGGGGCGGAATAGCAAGTGGCCATGGATGGGGGACGGCCAGAGAGGGAGAGTGGGCGAGGGAAGGGGGGTCTGCTCAATGAGACCTCTCGTGAGCCAACCCCACTAATCCTCTGGGATGACGGGCTTAACGAGTTGCTCTCGGTTCCCTGCCACAACCCCTCTCCCTCCTGCTCGGGGGAGGCGTTTATCACTGTTCCCTATTGATACACCCCCTCCCCTGGGCGACCGTCAGCCAACCAGGAGCAATGCCGACCCTATGCTCCCCCCTCCCCAACACTCCGTCAACAAAAACAATACAAAACACACTCTGCCTCCATATGCGGAGCCTGCGTAACCAACCCGATGCGGGTCCCCCCCACCATCCGTCAAAAACATGATCGACCCACGGACCCGGAAAGAAATATACATATGTAAAGTATGACAACATGTTCAAGACACCTGATTGGACGACGGGCAATTTCAATGCTGAGCGCATCGATCTTGACGTTCCGTGCCACAGGCTGTGCTGTGCTGCGCCGTGCTGAATTGCGACGAGCCGTGCCGCGATTGTGCTATATAGCATGGTGGATCGAGTCCTCCTTTGCATCCGAGTCCTGACCGATCTGATCTGGATCTGAAGCTGGAGCTGCCTGAGCACATAGCAGCTGCCCCAGAGCAAATGAACAAGGGGACGCGCCAGCGGGACGCGCCGCAGGACGTCCCAAGGGACGCTCCAGGGGTCGTGCCAGGGAGCGTGCAGTGGGGACGCACCGCGGGACGTGTCAAAGAGACGCACTAAGGAACGTGCCAATGAACGTGCCGCGGGACGCGCCAGGGAACGAGCAGCGCATCGTGCCATGGGGGACTGACCGTGGGGCGCGCCACGTAACGTGCCAAATGATGTGCCAAATTCGATGGCTGAACGCATCGATCTTGATGTACCGTGCCAAGGGCTGTGCTGTGCTGCGCCGTGCTGAATTGCGATGTGACGTGCCGCGATTGTGCTCTAGAACGTTGTGGATCGAGTCCTCCTTTGCATCCGAGTACTGACCGAACCGATCTGGATCTTAAGCCCGAGCTGCCTGAGCACATAGTAGCGCGCCAAGGGACGTGCCCATGTGGGCGCACCGCGGGACGTGCCAAAGGGACGCGCTACGGAACGTACCAATGGACGTGCCACGGGACGTACTATGGGACGCGCCGCGCGACGTGCCAGGGGGACTCGCCACGGGAAACTCCAGGGAACGTGCCAGGCGACGCGCCAGGGAACGTGCCAGGGAACGCGTCAGGGAACGTGCCGCGGGACGTCCCCGACCCAGGGCCAGGATCCTTTGTAAATTACGCCGCGCTGATCCACGGCAAGCCTGTGGGCTTGTGCACGCAGAACCTGCACTTCCACCTCTGGCGTCGGTCGCAGCTGCTGCCGCCATTAGGAGGAGGAGGAGGAGGAGGAGGAGGAGGAGGAGGAGGGGGAGGAAGGGGAGGAGGAAGAGGAGGAGGAGGAGGAGGATGCAATCCCATCGACACACTGTGAGACCGTCGGAGGTGCGAGCCCGGTCGGACGCGGAAAAAGAAGCTCTCGCAGCCTGGGCAGACAGGCAGCGCGTGAGATCGGAAGCAGGCCGCGGACCAGCGGTATGCGTCTGACTGTCGGGGGCAAGCCACAAACCTCGAGCCGAAATGGCTGCGGACTGCCGTGCCCGCGCTCCCAGGACCGCGATGCATCGTAAAGTAGGCTGCGTCTGCGCTCCCAGGGCCACGATCCCTTGTAAAACGTGTGCGTCCGCTCTCCCCGGGGTCACGATCCCTTCTGAACTGTGCTGCGTGCGTGCTCCCAGGGCCGCGCTCCCTCGAGAATTGCCATGTGTCCGCGCTCCCAGGGCCACGTTCCCTGGTGAAATGCGCTGTGTCCGCCACCGCAGGGCCACGATGCATCTTAAAATACGTTGCGTCCGCACTGCCAGGGCCACGATCCATTGTAAATTACGCTGCGTCCGCCTCCTCCTCCTCCTCCTCCTCCTCCTCCTCCTCCTCCTCCTCCTCCTCCTCCTCCTCCTCCTCCTCCTCCTCCTCCTCCTCCTCCTCCTCCTCGGCTCCTCCTCCTCCTCCTCCTCCTCCTCCTCCTCCTCCTCCTCCTCCTCCTCCTCCTCCTCCTCCTCCTCCTCCTCCCCCTCTCCCCCCGCCCTTCTCCAAAAACCATGCCCGCCCCTCCCAACGCCTCCTTCCCAACCTCCTGCCCTTTCTCTCTCCGAGGGCGGGCCGGCACAAAGGGGCGCGCGTGTACCGCTGCTCGAACAGCACGGGAAGAACTGTCTGCGCGGAGTCTGGAGCGCATGGTTTGCTCTGATGCCGAGAGCCCCCCAACGGTGAGGGGAGAAACGGCGAAAGGAGAGAGGAGGAGAGAGGGGGGGTGCCAGGATATTGCAGGGAGAGAAATGCGAGATGAGACTGAGAGAACAGAGAAGGGCAGCGGGAGGGATGGCGAGATGGAGGTAGGCAAGGGGACGGAGGGAGGGAACGGGAGGGACGGGGGGATGGCAAGTGGCAGGTGTCAAGCGATGGAAAGACTGAGGGGACGGGAAAGAGAGACGAGGAGATGCCGAGAAGAAAGGAAAGAACAAACATTGGGGAATGGGATGTGAATGACGTGACATTGCACTACCAAAACGTGCTCGACCCACGAACCCGGAATGAAATTTGGAAACGCGAGGCATGGCTACGTGTTCAAGACACCTGGTTGGGCGACAAGACAAATTGCAATACTGAAATATCGATCGTGATGTACAATGCCAAAAATTGTGCTGTGACGTGCCGTGCGGAAATGACATCTGCACCTGGTTGCAATCGAAACGTGCGGGACGGAAAATCAGCTCGAGCTAAAGAGCCGACTCAATTCCGAGAAGGGGCAAGAGAACATACGGGTCGCAGGGCGCACGGAGGTGCCACGGAACGTGCCAGGGGGCGCACTAGGGGACGTGCCAGGGGACGTGTCGAGGGACTTGGCAGGGGACGCGCCATGGAACGGGCGGGGAACGCGCAGGGGACAGGCCAAGGAACACGACGGAGGACGAGCCAGGGGGACGCGCCGAGTCCCGCTGTGGGGCGTTAAGAACCTGCGTGTCTTCACACGTGTCCCGTAGGCGTTACGAGCCCACGAGGTGTTCACGCCTGTCTCGCCCTGGGGCGTTCAGAACCCGCGTGCCGTCACGCTTGTCCCGCTCTGCGGCGTCAGGAGCCTACGTGTTGTCACGCCTGTCCCGTTCTGGGGCGTTAGGGACCCTCTCGTTGTCACGCTTGTCCCACCCTGGTGCGCTAGGAAACCACGTGTGCTCACGCTTGTCCCGCCCTGGGGCGTTAGGAACCCAATGTGTTTTCACGCTTGCAACGGCCTGGGGAGGTAGGAACCAACGTGCGTTCACGCTTGTCCCGCTCTGAAGCGCAACGAACCCATGTGTTTTCACGCTTGTCCCGCCCTGGGGCGTTAGGAGCATCTGTGTTTCCACGCTTGTCCCGCCCTGGAGAGTTAGGCACCCTTGTGTTTTCATGTTTGTCCCGCCCTGGGGGCTTAAACATCTACGTGTCGTCACGCCCCCAGGGTTAACCTCCCTCGTAAATGATGGTCCCACCTGGGCATCCCGGGGCGTCCAAACTTTTGACCCACTGCGAACCAAGAGTTTCGCACGAGACATCCCCAGGTATTCGGCACGCAGGACGCGCCATCCTCGACCTGGCGCGCAAATCGCCAACATTCGTTCTGCAAAACAAGCGCGGGGATCGAGGCGTCCTCGAGAAACCTGCGCGCAGAGCGCGCCGCCCTCGAGAGGACACGCAATCCATGAACATCTTGTCAAGTTGTATGTAAAAATAACGTGTCGCCGAACCTTGTGATTTATCACGGCTTCTGCGCCAGAGCGAGGACCCGAGATGGGGGGCACACTTTTCTCGAGCGGGCAAGCGCGCAACAAATCTCTCAAAAACAACATGGGGCCTCACCCCGTGATCCATCGCAAAACGTGTCGCTGACCCTTGCCCAACATGGCCCAGGGGTAAACATCTAAAGTGTGAGATTGGGCCCAAGCCCTCTCCACGGAAAACACGTGGCTCCAGCTCGGGACCACCATGTCAGATACCTCCTTGTGAGGCCTGGAGACGTAAAAGCACGTGGCTCCAGCTCGGGACCACCGCTTTGGATATCCCACTGGGTGGCCTGGACGCGTGAAAACACAGGGTTCAAGCTCGGGACCACCCTGTTAGATATACCTTCTAGGCGCTGGACACGTGAAAAACCATGGTTCAAGACCAGGGCCACAATGTCATATACCCCGCCGGTCCCATGGTGGGGCCACCAGGCTGCGAGGAGAACGAGTGCAGCTCCCTGTTCCGGTTGCAGCTTCCAGTCTCCACTGGTCCAGTCTTGCTTTCTGTTCTTACTGCTGATTGTTGTGAGCGCGCGACGGGGGGGAGCCCCAAACCAGTTTTTTACCACGCACAGATCGCGTGGTCTGAATTCCTGGGGGGGGGCGTGGGACATGTAAAAACATGTCATATTCGCGCCACCGAGGCCAATCCGTGGTAGATTACGCCAGATTCGCGTCCCCGAAAACCATAATCCTTTTGTGAATCATGCAAAATCTGCTCCCCCGAAACCGTAAACCCTTGCAACTTACATAGACTCACGCCCCCGAAGCCATAAACCTTTGAAGTTATACACTATTCGCGCCCCCAGGGCCAACATCCCACGAAATTACACTAGACTTGCGTCCCCGAGGCCGCACGCCCCTGCAAATTACACCATATTCGCGTCCCCAGGGCCATAAACCTTCGTACATTACGCAATGGTTGCTCCCCCGAGGCCTTAAACCTTGGCAAATTAACCTTCGTACATTACGCAATGGTTGCGTCCCCCGAGGCCTTAAACCTTCGTACATTACGCAATGGTTGCGTCCCCGAGGCCACAAGTCCTTCTAACTTATTCAATATTCGAATCCCCGAAGCCATAAACCATCGCGAATTACTTAATATTCGAACCACCGAAACCATAAACCATCGAACATTAATATTGGCCCTCGCGTGAAGTCCCGGCATGGCTTCACGTCAGCGTCCAAATATCCCAACGCAGCTCTGGCAAGTCCCATTCTAGGCGAGGGGAGGGGGGCTGGCGGCATGGGGGCGAGGCCCTTACGGATTGATTTACCTGGGTGGATTGGACTGTGCAAAAAAACGTGGTGCCAGCTCGGGGCCGCCATAGTAGAGAATCCGCGGAACATGTGGAAAATTGGCACAAACTACGCGTCTGGTGCAGCTTTCTTCCCCAAGCAGTGCTTGTGCACTGCAGCGATCCCAACGGGGATCGATTTTTGGCGACCCTTCCGGGCCGGCGTCGGTCGGCGGCTGGGTTCCAGGGTTCCCGGTTACAGTCGGGGCGTTGACCTAAGGAACCCTAAATAAGGAACCAGGCCCCTATTTCCCATAAGTTAAACTTCGATTTCATATCGAAAACCTAAGGAAAACCTAAGGCAAGCTGCGAAACAATTAGGGGACACGGAGCCCCTCCCCAATGAAAAGGGTTCCTTCTTCAGCGCCCCGACTGTTTGGGTTCCCGGATCCCCGGTTGCTGGGGCGACCGCGCGTCGGCCGTCACCCCCCCCCGCGGGTGGCCCGGGCATGCGCAAGAAGATGAAAGGCCTGTGCTCTCCACCACCACCACCACCAGTTTGAGGGGGGGAGGGGGTTCTCCTCTTCCTCCTCCTCCTCCTCCACCTCCTCCTCCTCCTCCTCCTCCTCCACCTCCTCCTCCTCCTCCACCTCCTCCTCCTCCTCCTCCTCTTCCTCCTCGTCCTCCTCCTCCTCCTCTTCGTCCTCCTCCTCCTCGTCCTCCTCCTCCTTCCCCCCTCCAACTTCTGGTGGTGGTGGAAAACAGGCCCATCGAAACACAAGGTTCCAACTCGGGGCAACCTGGACACGTGAAAACGCATGATACCCGCTCGTGGAAGCCAGGTGAGGTACCCCACTGGGCGGCCTGGAACTCAAGAGTGCTAAATTAGGAACCACAATGTTAGATATTCTCCTTTCTGGGTGGCCTGGGCACATGAAATTACGTGGTTGTATCAGTAGGCAACCATGCTAGATATCCCCTCGTGGCGACCTGTGCACGTGAAAACAAGCCTGTCGCTTAAGACATCCTCGAAATTATGGGTCCGAGGAGAGGAGCAACCTATAAGACGAAACGAGCATTTCGCGCGAGGTGTCATCAACAAATTCTGTAAAACAAGCATTTCGCTCGAGACATCCGCAACAAACGGAAATATTTACCCTCTGTGCGATCGATCGGAATTTCAAATGTTTCTCTCAAGAGGTCTTCAAAGCTCAACCCGCCCGCCCTACGCGACCTCGTTACCTATCACAGAAGCAGTCCGCCGGGCCTACGCAAGTCGACGCGGGTGGTGAAACGTACTAAAAGATAACCCTGGGCTGGACACCTGTCCAAGAAAAGATTTCGCCGTGGTTTGAACGCGACGGTGTCAGGGAATACGCATGGACGGGAGCGAGTATCGCACAAACAGGTCGCCGAACTCCCCCGATCCACCCGACTCCACCGCTCCACCACCGTAGAACAACGAAACATTGCCTGAACATAGAAACTTTCGGACGGCCGTGCTGATCTCTTGGGTCGGCGCTGGCCTGGACCCCCCTTCCAGCGCCCGGATCGCGCCACGGGCGGCGCCACAGGCGCCGCCAATGGGCTTCAGCGCCGATCCAAGAAATCTGCACGAACCTCGACACCGTCCTTCACCCTCTCGGCGGCGAACCCAGGGGAAAGTCAGAAGGAGCAGGCCTTATCAGAAGGTTCGGGAGTCCCACGGCCTTCTGAAGGCTTCCTAAGCCTTCCCCGAAGACGCAGAAAATCTCTCAGAAGGCCCGCAGGCCCTCTGAGAAGTCCGCCGCCTTCTGTGAAGGCCTTCTCCTTCTTCTCACTTCCCGCCATCGCTTGCTGCTGAGAGGCGCCGACGGTGGGCTCCGGAGCCGATCCAAGAAATCCGCGCGGACATCGACACCGCCGTCGTCGACGTCGTTGTCGTCGTCGTCCTCGTCGTCCGCGTCACCACCCTCGTCGTCGTCCTCGTCATCACCGTCATCGTCGTCGTCGTCGACAGCGCCGTCGTCGTCGTCGTCCTCGTCGTCGCCGTCGTCCTCGTCCACATCCTCGTCCTCCTCGTCCCCGTTCCCCCCCGCGCTCGCCGCCGCCCCTCAAAAGGCGCTCTCCTTCGATGCCCAGGCGGGGGCCACCGCTGCCCCGCAGCACCCGCAGCTCTGCCACGGCGCGCTGGCGTTCTTCGTGCGGCGGGCCGCCGTGGTCTGGGAGGCCGCGGGGGAGGGTGAGAGGACGAGGGCCGGAGGAGGGGCATGTTAGAAGGAAACTACGCCGGGTTTCGTAACAAGCGTGGGGGGGTACCCTTCCGACGGGGGTCAGCCTCGCCTCGTCGTCGCGCCGCGACGGGGGGTCCAAGCGCCTTCGCCGCGCGTTGGCTGCCCGCGACTGGGGTCGATGTGGGCCTGCCGGCGGGGGTGACGCCCCCCCCACGCTGATCAAAAAACCATGAAACACTGGGAGGCCTTCGTCGACAAAGTTCAAAACCTGATCGAGCCACAAACCCGGGAAGGGGTCTCTAGAAATGTGAAGCGCTGCGTCGTTTCCAAGACGTCAAACCTGGGCGATGGGCAATTACAGTGCTCAGATAACGATCGTGGTGTACAGTGCCACGGGCTGTGCTGTACTGCGTCGTGCTGTGCTGAGCTCAGCGTCCCACGCCGATTTAAAACGTGCCGCGCCTTTTTATCGCATTGTGGATCAAGCTGACTTGGCGTCAGAATCGTGACCGAACTGGTTTGCCCTTAACCTCGAACTGCCTGCACGTATGGCTCGGGCTGGTTCTCGTCGAGGCGCGCGGGGCGCTCGACCAACTCGAGCTCAAAGTCCGATTCGTGTCCGAAGCTAGAGCCAGAGACATTCAGTTCCGCAGCGCGACAGGAGCGCGAATACGACAGGCGGGGGAGAAACATGCGGGGCGTTCAACCAGCTGGAACTCAAGCTCCTATTCAGTTCCGAAGTGGGATGGAACGATCCAGGTGCGGATCCAAACCGAAAGGAAAAACACCGAGACGACGACAAGGCCCCCTCTCGACACCAAGGAGCCCTTCGCTGCAAGCGACGACCTCGCTCGAGACATCCTCAACGGATCCTACAGAGCGAGCGTTTCGCCCTAGACATCCTCAGCACAAGTAAGAAGGCGGATTAAGTTGATTGGGTCGAGGCCCCCCCCCAGGGAAAGGTCGAGCCCCCCCCCCGGGAAAAACAAAAAAACAGCAAAAGCGCGTCGACTCTTGAAGTGGCCCGCGCGCCGATTCCTCTCGAAGGGTGTAAGCAAGAGGCGGTGGTTGGCAATGGAAGTCACGAAAACCCGTAGCACACTGGTCCATATTAGTTTTGCAAGGGCCCTCGCGCTTGGCCAATCTAGTCCATGGTGGTATTTCGCCCACCCAAATACCCGCCGGTTGTTCTCGGACATAAAACCGTCGGAGGTCATTTTGACGTACCACAACCCTTCCACAAAACTTGACGTGTGGGAGGTATTCCTTGTGGTGTTCATGCCACGTGTCGTTGACTCTAGACTTGAAGTAGGACGGTAGTCCAGTTGTTCTGCACTTAGGTGGTGCTGTAAAGCAACGCTAACGAAGCACACGTCGAAGTAGTACATAACTGCATCCTGGACTTCCTTGTTTCCAACGTCAACGCATCAACGTTTTCCGAGGTTTCCCCCTGGGGATAAGCCTCGGCTAACAAGTAACTGCGAGTTCCCCCCATGATCTCCGCATAATTCCAGCACGTATACCTTGCTATATGGTCCGTGACGCAAGGTTGGGATTATGGAAAACACATCGGCATGTGTATCCGCCGGTAACCCCGCTGGCAGTGTGATGAAGGTTTCCTCATCGTCGCCGCTGTCGGTGTCGGGGGGGGGGCCTCGGTGTACTAGGCACCGCGCCCGAGAGTCTTCAGGTCTTCACCGAAGTCGTCGTTGCCGTCTTTCGACTAATTCGGGTATCTCGCGTGGTTTGATGCTGGCTTCTCTATCAACTTTCTGCTTTTCCTTTTGCTTGATCTGGGCATCCGTAGTGCTGTCTGCAATTCTGCGCCGGGTGATGCAGGTGCCGGAAATTCGGGCAATGCGGGAATAGGGGGGAGCGCGCGGCCGCGATCAATCGAGGGGGGGGAAGACGATCTTCATCGACGGTCGCAACCCGCCTTGGGCGCGGTCGCTGCCCTTCGTTTCCGAGCAGGGCTGGCGCCGGAGGCTCCCCGTACAATCGAGCGCGGATATTCGTCGCGCCCTTCAGAAAAAGGGGCATTGCAAGTGTGCCCGATCGGCGGATCTTGAATCTGAATGTCTTGTGTAATAGATTGTCGCCAAGATTCATCGCCCCCCGTCTTGCGGCATGGTCCAATTCAGGGTCCTTCTCAGGAGACTAAACGTATGTTCGAGCTCCCTTATCCACTTTTGCGTGGGAGCATAGGTGTGCAGCACTTGAAGGGTGTCTCTTTGTTTTCAATATTATATCGTGTGAGGCTCCCTTCCAGAAGTAACCTGGAGGTCCCACAACTACTATCGACATACGTAGAGCCCGAGCTTTGATCACGAGGTTGTGGAAGCGTTGATAATGTGGCCCCGCCCGCTTTCCAGGCAATCGTGCATGCCGGTCAGCGGGCGTTGCCACCCACAGTAGTCATCCCCTGATAGTGAGCCACCCAGGTACTGTGTACCAGTAGAAGTCATACCCTCTGTGCGAGCAGACGATCACATATGCATCCTCGAGCTGGGAGCCAAGCGCAAGCTGTTCGCACATCTTCGATAACAAGGGCACGAGAGTGATAATGATGTGATGAGCGTTCATTTTATGCGGCAGCCACACAGCGGGGCCCGCCGCTGCCCCTGGGGCGCGCAGCCGGCGCCTGGGAAAAGCATGCAGGTACCCCCGCGCCTGAAGACTGCACCTCAGCGTTCGGCCTGTCTGGGCAAGCGCAAAAGGCCGTGGCGCACGCCTGCCCCCGTCATCCATTCTCGAGCGATGGGGCGTCCAAACGCCCCTTCCATGGGCCACTGAGCCACTGCTCGGAATAAAGATGTCAAGCTTCTCGGCAGCGTCGCTCGCTACAGCAGGTGCCCCCGCAGCGTTGTCGGGCGGCGCCCATTTGCTGCCCACTTCATAGATAGCCCAGTAGGCCTTCGCTTGCAAGCTGCGCAAGGCGAGGTCCTGATCGGCAGGCGTAGGTGCATTCCCATACGTCGTATTCCTGTGGCACCTGGTCTTGGGGGCGTTGTTTACCAGAGACTTGATCGTGCAGGAGACCGTCTCCTCATTCATGGATGGAGAAACTGATGCCCCTGGTGTCCTGGGACATTATACATGCGCGGGCGTCGCGAGTGGCGGGTGCCCCCGCAGTGCTCGGTGCAGGCTTTCCTGCTATCGGCTCTGCATTAGCGATCTCCTTGACGAGAGTGGGTGTTTCCTCGCGATGAAGAATGGTTGCGACAGCAAACGCCGTTGAGACATTGGCATCTGTTGCGGCCCCATACTGATCAAGTTTGATCGCCAGATGTCCTGAGTTTCTGTATGAAGTCCAGCACCCTTGCGCCTTTACCAAGGAAGAGCCTGTACATGTTGCCAGGAATGATCATCTGCTCGCGTCCCTGTTCAAGGATCAGGATGGCGCGCATGTTTGACATGCTCCTCAAACCTAGGATTGCAGGGAGGTTCTCGCCAAAGCAGTGGCGGGTTTCCCCGCGAAGTAGCCCCTTTCCTGGCGCGCAATCTTACAATGCAAAGAGTTGCCGCAGATGGCGGCTTCATGTCCCGCACCAGACACATACAGCCTCTTCGTCAGGTTAGGCTTCTTGGTGTCGTGTCCGTAGGAGCATGCGACTCGATCGAACGCCTGTGCAGTTTTCAGAATAACTGTGTTGATGTTGCTGCCAATGTCCAAAAGGACATGCAACGTGCAGTCTAACATGGCCCCGCTGTTCGCTGTCAGGGCTGACTCATGTCGTTCTCCGAACACCCGGCACATCGGACAGCGTTGTGCCGTGCGTGCCTCTACGGCGCCTGTGCTCCAGCGCCCACTGGTCTCTCGTCAGAGACGTAAAGACGTTCATGTACCCCCTGGCTTCCTCCTCTGCGAGGGGATGCTTCTGGAAGATCCAGGCAGTCGGGCACGCGTCATACATGCGGGGATGTTGTGGAGAAAGCGGCGCGTTCTAAAAAATATCTTCGTCGGCGCGCACTGCAGTATGTCCATCCGCATTGACCATCGGCACCGCGTGCGACATGTCACGCTCAGATATGGCTTTGGCACCGCTACGCGCTCTCGCTGGGTTCTCGACGCTGCGCGTGCGTAGAGGGCGGCCATATGGCATACTGGCGCAGGGTGTGCGCAGCCAGTGCGTGATTCTTTCCGTAGACCTCTCTATGCGCCTCAGCCATGCCTCATTAGCGAGCAGCGCTGCTTGTGTTGATTCGGCAGGTGCCCCTGCAGCATCTGCTGATTCGACTACCAGAGGTATTGGCACACCAGTGGCGAGCATAGTAGCTAGTGGATTCTGTCCAGCATGCGAAGGATGAAGCAGGTTGCCCCGCAGATGTAGCTTGCGGCCCTGCGGCAGCTGTAGTGCCTGCCATCATCGCCGTGATGCGGCTCCGCTCTTCACGGGGATATTTGCGTTCCTTTGCCCCGCGGAATAGTTCTTCATGTCGATCCGCTGCATTTTGATCCCCAGCAAGGGCGTTATGAATTCCAGCTGCGATGGGGCCCACACCCCTGCAAATGGCACATGGTGCCTCGCTCGGTGCACCTTCCAGCTGTCAATCCACACGCGCGTGGGCCGCGCAATCCTCGCGCACTGCGTATGCAATATATGACCACACTGAAGCCTCCACACCTTGTCGTGATATACGAACTCTTCCAGGCATCTGGCACATTTGGTAAAATCACCATCATTGATGATTGGTGGCGTTGCCGATGGCCTGATACGCGTCTGTCGCTCAAGCGTGGACTCTCCGCTCTCATACAGACTCGGTGAGACTGCAGGTGCCATTTGCTTCGCCGCAGGCATTGATCCCATAGCGACCGCTGCGGATAAGTTCGTTGCAGGTTGCCCCGCAGGTGTAAGAGCAGCGGGCGCCCCCGCGCGGCCCACGCGGCGTAGCTGTCGCTCCCGATTGCGGCGTTGCCGAGCCAGTTGCATTGGAAGATTGGCCTGCTGCGCCTCATGGATGGCCAAGATCTAAAGGCGCAGCACTCC